AAATGACTAATTAACGTTGATCAATGGTGCAACGCGTGGTTGTATTATCCGCTATCATACTTGACCATTTTGTATATCACATCGAGCAACAAAACCCTAGTTACTTATAATTAATCAAGATGATGTAACTGATGATTGTACTGTTAGTCACGAGATTCGTCCATTTTTCCAAAGAGAAAAAAAACTTATATTTTCAACTAATTAGATGGAGGTTCAGACGAGTACACATTAATTTTACAAAAACATGAGAACACATTCATCACATATGATAATACACGTGTGGCAATGTCTGGTGGTGTGGGGTCGACTTGGCCCACGACCTAGGTCGTGCCAAAGGTCGCCCACGTATATGATTTAGTATCACATATGATGGACTACAATATCACATATGATTGACTTTAGTCAATGGTGTTTGTAAAAAGATGTTTTTGCTTGAACCCTTTATATATATATATATATATATATATATATATATATATATATATATAAGAACAAAGAATAATAATATAAGGTAGAGAGGAGTAGATCATAAAAGTGCATGGTACAAAATATATATATATATATATATAAGAACAAAGAATAATAATATAAGGTAGAGAGGAGTAGATCATAAAAGTGCATGGTACAAAATATATAGGATATGATTTTATTGGTTTCTACTTAGAAAAAGAAAGAAACAAGTTCCATTGATTGAGGGGAAAGATGCATATACTTTTTGGTACATAATTCATTTATCTCTTTGTCTTTTTGCTCAAATACTCAACATATACATTATTTTATCTCTTTGTCTATCGTAGGTTGGGTTCTGATGAGAATAAAAGTTATAGCAAGAAAGATAAGAAAAGATCATCATCTTTGGATCAATCATAATTGAAGATCAACGGTAATGAGATGCACCAGATAAATTCCATTATCAGGCGTAACTCATGAGGTGGGGATGAGATTAAAAGTAATTAAGGGTCCAGATCCCCTTCTTACGCTTCTCGCCTTAACTCTTATTCTTGCACGTGAGACCGAGGGTTTTTCGTGAGACCCGTAAGACCAGTTTATGTTTACTGATCAATTTTATAAACCAATGATCTAATGGTCTAAAGTTGCACGGTGACAATTTTGTGATTATTGAGAAGTCTCGTGGCAATTTTGTGATTATGAATGTTCAGATTGTAGATCTTATCTAAGGGTTGAGAATTGGTCTTACGGGTATCATGAAAAACCATTGATCTCACATGATCCCAAGTCTATATATATATATATATATATAGAGAGAGAGAGAGAGAGAGAGGTGAGTTATTATGCAACCATTTACATTTGTACAACCAATACAACTCAATCTCAACCGTCCATTTAATTTGATAATATATTATTTCATAAAAGTTTTGATTGTTTCCTAATATAAAGTATTGATCATAATTAATGAACTCCAACCATCTTCCATAAATATTCAAATCATAATAAATGATTTATCATCATTTCCACAAATATCTCAATTAATTAGGTTGTATTGGTTGTACAAATGAACATGGTTTGCATTTGAAATATACCCTATATATACGTGTGTGTGTGTGTATGTGTGTGTGTGTGGGTGTGGATAAACATGAAGCTGTAGTGATTGGTAAAGGCGGATTCACATTTAATAGATTTGAGATGAATCGAGTTATATCCAAATATCTATATGATCAAATCTAATTAACTTTTAATAACCAATCCAATTCAATCCAATAGATGATTGGATTGGATAATTTAATCTATCAGATATTTTTATTGGTTGTTTGATTATTTTTTTTTTTTTGATCTAATACAATTACAATTGGAGATGCAATTTTGATTGCTCAGTTGTAATTGACCGATATCATTCAATATGATCACTTTGATATAATCCTTAGTGTTATAATTACTGATTTAAACAAACAACAGTGACATGATTATTGGTGTACATAGTGTAATAATTTCAATACATTGTAATAATAAATCTAAATACAACAGGTATTTTTAAGTTTTTATTGCTGTAATGATACTGATATTTCTTCTTTTCTAATCGGTAGTTGTTAATGCATGAGAAAAGAAAGAATCAACAATGAGCGTCCAATAACTGAATACGGGTCAATTCTCTTTGACTTAGGAAGCTACTATTGAGTTATGAATCTTCGTATATAAAAAAGAGAGCGAAACTTCGTTTTTTATGCTTATTAAGCACCTCATATATCAAAATATTCTCCATTGTACTGTATTACAAAAATATGCTAGACTACTGGTTACATGGTATATATATTATTGTACTTAATAAAGTTTAAATTACCTTTGTTTTTTTAAGAGGTGCTGAAGTATGAAGTCTTATTTCACTTCTGATTAATAAGAGGTGGTGTTGAAGTCTGAAATCTGAATTAATAAGATTGTTTGTTTTTGTAAACTGATAAATGTCTGAATTTGTTTAAATCATCTATTTTATCCGTTAGAAAATTATAGTTTTAAATTTATAGATAAATTTATAACATTTCACATATTTATTTATCATTGTTATGAAATTACATCTAAATTATATAATTAACATTCATTTAAACGAAAATATGTCATTAACGGTATTTAACACATTTAAATCATATTAAAATACATCAATTGAGACAGGTGATGAACGACTGAGAGAAATGATCGATTGAGAAGCGCCGTTGCTAAGAGTTTGACGAACAATAAGAAGCAAATAAGAGGTTGGTTTATCTCTTATCAGATAAGGTGTGAATAAGACACAAGTGCCTCTGAAAAATTGGAAAAAACAAACAGTGTAAATGGTTCTACCTCCTAACAAAACAGACATAAGAGGCTAATAACAACTTTTTATAAATAAAAAAAAAACATACGCCTTAGAAACTTTTTTTTTATTAACCTGGATATCCAAACTGCTATACGAACCAACTAATCTTAGGACGACCACCTGCTTTGCAGATAACCCAGAGTCACCGTATTTGAACTTCCGTGACCACAACCAACCCAATAAGGAATACTAATAATCTATTAGCAAGTGTTTTTTTTAAATCTCATGGCATGGCTTTTGGTGTCATTTATTTCTAAATTAAAATTAGTAGGTAAGTTTGTATGTCATCATTTTAATATTATTTTCATTTTATAATTTTGACTTTTCTTATTAGACTTTTTGGTGTCATATATTGTGATAATTGTGAGAGCTGTTATCATAAGGTATTGTTTCACATTATCTTTTTTTCCATCTAAAGCTATAATTTAATATACTGAGTAATATATATATATATATATATATATATATGTGTGTGTGTGTATTCTATAATATGTTTCTTTCATATGTATTCGGTTCACAAAATTTGAAACATTTTAGTTGTATTTTTTATTCATTTATTTAGAACGACAATATATTCAAAAAAGAAAGGCTAGCAAGGAGCTACGAGTACATCAAGGTATTACAAACTTCCATCAGGTCCTTACACACACATTCAAGTCTATCATAGACCCATGTTATTCATAAAACACATAAATATATGTTCACATCATGAAACAAATATATATGAAATAAACATATTGTGAAATAAATATATGTTAATTAACACATTAAATCTGAGACTCACATGGAAACGTATAATATAAAATAACACATGATAGCACTATTTCTGAAAGTTATCATAATTTTATGAGTTTTCAGATAAAATCATCTGTATTTATAAAAATATATAAAATATGATTTTTAATTATAATCATTAATATAAATTTAAAAAGATATAAATAGTGAGTTGTGTTTAGCTGCAAAGTATAAAGTCAAATATCAGGCTTCCCACTTTCCAATCTAATTGAGTTTAAAATTTTAATAAAAGAAAAATTAATTAAAATAAAATTTTGATTTATAGTTTTGTCTTTTAGTCAATTTTTTTTTCGAGGAATCATAAAAATATCGCTACGTTCGTGTAGACCTAGTTAAACGACAAAAAATATCATTGAAAATTACGGACATGGGTTAAAAATGTTACTGAAATTGCGAACGTGAGTGAAAAATGGTTACAGTTTTCTGCAGACGTGGGTTAAAAATGTTACTGACAATTGCGAACGTAGGTGAAAAATGTTACAGTTTTTTGCAGACGTGGGTGAAAAAATGTAACATTTTTTCACGGACATGGGTGAAAAATGTAAATTTTTTTACCGTTTAGCTTTGTTGACCTAAAAATTGTAGATAGGCCAAAATGGCTATTTTAATTAATTTTTTTAACAAATTATACAAATACAATATAATTCATCTAAAAAATATATTTTATTTTATATTAATTTCTTAATTTTATTGTTCATCGCTACATTTCTTTTTAATTGCTCTTTGACTGTGTAATGAGTATGGTAAATATTTAAATAATAATTATATATACGAGTTTAATCATTTAAAAACTTCAAAATTTATAAGATTTATAAGAATTACCATCTTATGATTTTTTTTTAAATCTCAGTTAAATGTATCAGATATTTTCCGTTTTGTTACATATAAACTCACAATTTTAAAATCTGTCAAATAAATAAGATATTCAGTCCTTTATAAGACAACCTTAGTTACTTTCCCCAACCGACCTGAAATCTTACATTCCACCCCTGTGGGGGTCCCGACATCCTTACTGGTACACCAGTTTGATTCCCTACTCTGATACCACATGTACCAGATTTTATCTGCTTTATACACATCTGGACTTATGGTTTTAAAAGATGTACACTAAAAAAGATATCCATTCCCTTAATAAAACCTGGACTCACGGTTTCAAATGATATATTTGTTTCGTTAGTATTTTGTTTATATTTAAATAATAATTATACATATTTAATATATATATATATATATTATATTATTTAAATAAAATAAATAATAAAATTGAAGCAAATTCAAAGGTGCAGTTCATGCTCAGTTGCTCACTGGTCAGATGCCCACTAAATTTCAAATTTAAAATTAAATTTTCTTTTTTGGGTCTCAAGAATAGTCTATAAACTGAACCAAACAGATGTCGAACGACACTTCACCCTCAAAGAAGCCATGAACTTTCCGGCGACCAGGTTACCGGAGTTTCTTGGAATTCCGGTGACCCAACAAAATAAGCTTGATTTGATCATGACATCTGTCATCATCCTCATCATCATCTCCTCTCATCCAACAAATTCACAGTCTTTATCTTCTTCTCCGACGACTGCTGTGTCTGCTGATACTTCAAACTCACCGGATTCCGTCACAAATTTCCAGCCAAGTTTAGCAGTTGTCATCGGAGTTCTTGCCATCATGTTTATTTTAACATTTTGTCTCTTGATTTACGCAAAATGTTGCCACAGAGCATCTTCTCCACGATACCTGAATCAAGAAAACTTCGGTGATCAGTTACCTCGATCACTATCTAGGGTTTCGGGTGTCGACAAGACCGTGATCGAATCGCTGCCATTTTTCCGGTTTTCGACCTTAAAAGGGTGGAGAAATGGCTTAGAATGTTCCATCTGTTTGTCCAAATTCGAAGACATCGAGATTCTTCGATTGTTGCCCAAATGCAAACACGCTTTTCACATCGATTGTGTGGATCGGTGGCTCGAAAAACACTCGGGTTGTCCACTTTGTAGGTGTAAAGTAAGCGAAGAAGATGCCGCACTTTTCGCGTATTCGAGTAGTTTAAGGTTTTTAAGCAACCAATCCGATCGTCATCGGGCACACGAAGGTTCGAATTTGGAGCTGTTTATCGAACGAGAAGGGTCCGCAAGATTCGGAAGCCGAAGAAGTTTCAGCAAGCTTGATCATGAACAACGAGAGATGAAGAATCAAGAAATCTTGGAAGGTGATCATGATCAAGATCAAGAAACCTTGCACAAGTTTAATCATAGGATTATTATATCAGATTATGATCAACATGGTTTGATGATGAAGAACAGATGGAGTAACATGAGTCCATCTGATCTTCTGTTCTTGAAATCTGAGATGATTACTTCTTTGTCAAGCAACATACTTGATGATCATCATCATCATCATGAGATGATTACTTCTATCTCAAGCAACATTCTTGATCACCAGCCCATCAAGATCAAAGAAGAAATCAAACGAAAAAGGGAATTCGAGATGAAAATAAAGAGATTTCCAGGTGGGAATTCAGATATCGAACCGAAATCGACGAAACTTACAGAGAAAAGATCGATGTCTGAGATTATTGTTCATCCAAGATTTCTTGATGTTGAATCAAGTAATCATAAAGAAGAGAGATTGAAGAGATTATGGCTACCGATTGCACGAAGAACAGTTCAATGGTTTGCAAGTAGAGATCAACGGTCACAGATTAACACACAATCCCAAGTTTAATTAGAATTAATCAGATCCATTTATCCCGGTTGATTATATTTTCTCTTAAAATTTTCATGTTCCCACTAGAAATTATTAAAGACAAAATTATATATATATACACAGAGGTGGGTTATTATACAACCACTTACATTTGTACAAGCAATATAACTCAATCTCAACATACATTTAATTTGATGAATATGTAATTTCATAGAAGTTCTCATTGTTTCATAATATAAAGTATTAATCATAATTAATGAATTGTATTCATCTTCCATAAATATTTAAATAATAATAAATGAACTCTCATCATTTTCATAAATATTTCAATTTATTGGGTTGCATTGGTTGTACAAATACAATTAGTTGCATTTGAAATAAATTATCTCTCTCTCTCTACATATTTTTTATGGATTATTTATTTAGATTTTAGACATAATTAAAGAAATAAAAAATATATAATAATTATGAATCGTTAATTAGACTTGGGATCATGTGAGACAAATGGTTTTTCGTGAAACCTGTAAGACCAATTCTCAACCCTTGGATTTGATCTACAATTGTCAGATCTGAACATTCATAAACGTCATGAGACTTCTCAATAATTACAAATTTGTCACTGTGCAACTTTAAACCATTAGATCATTAGCTTATAAAGTTGATCAATGGACATAAATTGGTCTTACGGGTCTCACGAAAAACCTTTGGTCTCATATAAATCCAATCCTCTTTAATTATATTTAGTAGTAAGTTGTATTAATATATTGTTCTTGTTCGTTGTTTTGTCTTCCATACATGTGTTTTCTGTATTTTGTCTACTACTGATTTAATATACTTACATTAATTATATTTTTATATGAGTTTTTGACACTAATAACTAAAAGAAAACATAATATATATATATATATATATATATATACACACATATACACGTACACGGGATCATGTGAGACAATACTGTTTTCATGAAACACGATTTTTATACTTGAAACTTCACAGCAAAATACTGTGAAAGTAACATTCACAGTGTTTTTGCTGTGAAAATTCGGCTTTTTTTTTTTTACCTTCACAACATTTTTTGTAGTGAAGTTTCAAGTGTAAAAATAGTGTCTCACGAGAACAACATTGTCTCATGTGAACTTAACCCAATATCAACAATTAAGAGCCGTTTACTAAACACTTACTTGGTAAGTGTTTAACGCATAAATTTCCTTATTGGATGAACATGAGAAGGGCCAAAAATCTTATCGGGTAAGAGCAATGAGAAAGATGGAGAGTCTTACGCGGTAAGTAAGAATAACGACTCTTATCCAGGTAAACGTTTACCAAATAAATTGTTGCATTCGATATGTTTTGATAATTAAAATATTACGCATCAAAATAAATTATATTGTTGACTCATATTGGTAAGCGCTTACCGGTTGGGTAAACGGCCCCTTAAAATACCTCTTAAACATGATATTTTTTTAATATTTAATTACTATTATAAATTGGTATATAATAAAACTTTTAATTTATAAAAGAATAACATGAACTAGGAATAGGAATAGGAATAGGAATAGGATGACAAATTTGAACATATAGAAAACATAATAATGCAACCATTCAAATTAAATTAAGATAATTAAAATTAATGTACTTTATTTAATTTGTATTTATTGACCAATTCCACACCATCTTACATAAATAAATAAATGGTCTTAAAAATATTAAAAATTGTTCATGATAAATTATTTTTTAATTATAAAATGACAACATCGTTGTTTGACTGATGAGAATAAATATAACTTATCTTATACTAATACAGTTTTAAGAATAATATCGTTGTTTGTATCTATCTGATTTTTATCTGTACATGAAATCGTATTTTTATTTTCTTGTAAGTATCTTAAAAAGTCAAAATTGTTATAATTAAATTAAAAAAAAATATTAGGTTTAATGACATTTTAATTGTCAAATCTATATATTTATAATATTATCTTCAAGAGGGTGCATTTTATATAGGTGTAATTAGGTGTATTTATTTTAGAGATTAAACTCCACTTTAATATCTATGACTTGCAAGGAGAGTGGTCCTTATGTTTAAAAAAAAAAGAGAAATTAATTAAAATGATAGGTCTGAATTTATCTTTTAGTCATTTCTTTTTTAATATTTTAAAATTGTTTAATACCTTTGCAAGTGACAACTCCTCAATTTACGGAGGGTCAAAATGTAAAAAAAAGTTTATGAACTAAGTCCACAAGTATATGGACTAAATCTATAAACTGGTGTCATCACTTCCGCAACACTCATGGTTAAGAAACGTTTTATTTTTACATTTTAACCCCTCTGTGAATTAAGGAGGTGTTACTTGATGATATTTTTAAAATTTAGGTAAAAAAAATGGCTAAGATATGAATTCAAATCTTGGAAACGAATATTTCTATTAATTTTCCTTTAAAAATATAGTATTCACCTTTGTATGTATTTCACTTTGAAAGATAGTCCCTAACATTAAGGGGTCGTTTGGTTCGCGGAATTCGAAGGAATTTGATGGAATTGGAATGACAAATTCTTTTGACCAAATTCAAATTCCTTTGTTTGGTTCATTTCTTGAATGGATGGAATCTTTCAAATTCCATTGAATTCCACAAGTTAATGAATTCATCATTTCTTGGCATAATGGAAGGAATTGAATTCCATCACCATCCACCACGATCATGCTACTATTGTTCATGATGCCCCACCCTTAACCTCCCACCACTGATGTCGCTGCCACCCACCCCACCCCACCCCATCCTAACCACTATGCCATTACTGTTGTCATCACATCCACCCACCATCTAGTCACTCACTACACATCCCTACTACGACCATGCTACTAACGTTACTGTCACACCCCTAACCTAACCCCCACCACCACAACATTATTGTCGTCGTCACAACTGCCACTCACCCTACCGCACCCTACCCTAACCACCACTATGTTACTACTGTCGTCATCATACCCACCACTCCCAATCACCCTGACCATCATCGTCACAACTGTCACTGATCCCCACCTCCCCACCCCTGTAACCCTTAACCTAACCCTCCACCCCCACACTACTATTGTCGCCTTTACAACCGCCATTCACCCGCACCCCACCCTACCCTACCCTACCCTAACCCACCACTAAACACCATGCCACTATTATTGTCGTCATACCCACCCACTCCCTGGCCCCAGCCTCCCGACCATTATCCCACCACTAGCATCATCACAGCTACCACCCCGCCACTTACCCCTACCCACCCCACTGTCCTGCCTTGCCCCCACCCTACCTTACCCTACTCTAACCCATCACTAACCACCATCCTACCACTATAGTCATCACAACTATCACACTGCCACCTATTGCCCCACTCTAGCTTCACCCCCACTGCCTAGCCCCACCCCTGCCTGCCCGCAACAATCCCCACCTATGGAGTAGGGTAGGGCAGAAGTGGTGGGGGCAGGGCGGATGATAGTTGTGGCGACGACTTTAGTGACATGGTGGCTGGTAGGTTGTTGGCGGGGCGATGGATGGGATAGTCCATACAAAGATGATTGTTCCAAATCTATTGAGAGATTTTATTCCAATTTCTACCAACCAAACGCATGGTCAAATTACATCAAATTCCTTTGATGGATTCCAATTCCATCAAATTCCATTCTGTGAACCAAACACCCCCTAAGGGGTCGTTTGGTTCGTGGAATTCGAAGGAATTGAAATGACAAATTCCTTTGACCAAATTCTAATTTCTTTGTTTGATTTATTTCAGTTGTCCCTATTGGCTCATGGTCAATTGTTTGTAAGCCGGAGACGTGAACCAGTTGGCTGGGGTGGTAGAGTCACACCGACTAACGCTAACCGGTCGACTTTGACTAAACCACCTCTTGTGGCCCAGTTATTAGCATTCCATAAACTCAAGTAGACTCAACATCCCTTGTTGGTTAGGGTATGTAGTCCCTTCGTTCTCATAGTTTTTAACTAGTCGAATCAGTAGGCTATCGACATACCATCTGCATACATAAAAAAAAGATGGATAACGTGTGAATACATAGAAACCCCAAATCAACTTCAATAAAAGCTCCCTTGCGGATCAGAGGAACAATGTTCAACACTACGGCAAACTGGTTTTATAGGACGCCTAGATTATATAAGCATCATAATAGAATACTTTATGGAACTTAGGTTTATATGACCAAACTTTAAAGGGTTTCTTTAAAAGCATTACAATAAGTTTATAGGACGTTTTTTTTAGATGTTTTAATAACAATTTTAAGGCGCTTTTAAATAAAATAACATATTTGCTATTTTATACGACACTTTTAAACAAGTGTCATATAAACCATTTTTTATGGGACACTTGTGTTTATAAGACACTTTTTAAAATAGTGTCCTATAAGATATTTAATACGACATTTTATTTTAAAAGCGTTTTAAAAAACTTGTTAAAATGTTTAAAAACGTCCTATAAACCTATTATAACATTTTTAGATAAGATGTTTTTTGGTTTGGTCTTATAAACTTAAATCCTATAAAATATTTTTATGACGCTTCTACATTTTAGACATCATATAAGTTTGTTGTAGTTTCAACATATATGGAAGACAAATGGTCAAAGTCTAGTTGATGTGAGACTTTAACACGCTCCTCCAATGAAAACTAGACATGGACACTACAATAAAATTTGGCTTATAGGACACTACCATAAATAAGCGTCATAATAGACAACTTTATAAGATATATGATCAAAAAATAAAGTGTCATATCTAAAAACGTTGTAATAAATTTATATGACATTTTGGGCGTCGTAACAAGTTTGTTAGGACACTTTTATATAAAAACATAATATTAATTATTTTTATAAGACATTATTTGATAAAATGTCCAACAACTTAGCATCAACCAATAGCGTAATTTCATTTAATTTTCTTTATTTTTAATTCATAAGGGTATGATTGTACTTTGGCTTTATAATAGATAATTTTAGTAATATTTTAATTGTGTCTATCTCGGAAGGATTACATAGATCAGAGGTATTTTAGGAAATTATCAATCAATTGGTTTTTATAATAATATTGAAACAAGTAAATTTTTAATAGATACTTACTAAAATCAATGAAACAGGGTAATTTCCAATAAAACAGACTCAAACTATTCAATGAAACAAGGTCATATATGATTGCATCAGGTTTATATGTATAACAGCTGTAATGAAACAAGTTTATATGTCATATATGATTGCATCAGGTTCATATGTATAACAACTGTAATGAAACAGATTCATAGAACATGTTTTTCCCGTTTTGCCCTTCTGCATTGCTACTCACGTTCTTGTTACAAACCACATACCCAAATGATAACTAGTAAATCATGTAACGTTTATATTATTATTAAAACGGTTATTTGTGGGGAATGTTTGTTCAAATGGTGGAAGTGCTACCATTGAGAAGCAATTCACATCAAAAGGATTTTGGTCTAGCGGTATCGTAGTCTTTGACTTCATAAGAGGCCAGGGGTTCAAACCTCACCATAAGTGAGAAAGGTGCATGAGCTTATTTGTTACATTTACTGTTATAAATATTATATACTTAAAAAAAGAAGCAGTTCACGAATTCTATTGAAGGAAAAACAATCGTTAGTGGCAAACATGTAAGATGTACAAAGGTCGGGGAAGATGAAAAAATGCCAAAAAGGTGATGTGTGAAAAGGGTTGTTTTAATATAGGTTTTTTATAAATGCTTTACATATTCGTATATACTAGTTGTGTATTCATGCAATGCGTTGAAAATCATGAATTTTAACGATTTTGAAGTTTAACTGGTTTTATTAGAGAAGATTTAACGATGATATAAATTACACTTGGTCTTTTCATATTAATACAATTTGAATAAAGAAGAGTTATGGTTTCAATTACAGTCTATAGATAAAAAAAATGTATGACAATTTAATATCCAATATATTTGAAATCTAACATATTTAAACGACTCCATAAATATGTTTGATTTATACCAAGAGCAAAGAAAATTCAATTTGCGAAAGAAACCTAATTCTAAGGTTCCTCGTGATCTCGTCTATATTGGCATTTTGGGGATGGAGGTTGTACTCAATTTGCGAAAGAAAATTCAATTAAAATGAATGAGTCAATTATCTAATAATTGAGGGACTATTTTTGTAAATAAATTTGGATTGTTGGACTTGCCGGATCTCTCAGCCACCATGAGCGCACAGAAACCTAATTCGGCGGAATGGGAGGCGGAGATGTCGAGAAGATGGTGGCCGTTGGCCTCATATGGGGCGCCACAAATGCCCTCATGCGTCGAGGTGCGCTTATATGTGATCAACAAATTCTTAAGCAGAAATCTTCATCAATCAAAACCCACAAAAGCCCAGTTGTCAAAACCCTCATTGACTGGTTCAATCTCCTCTTAGTTTGGCAGTACTCTGTTCCTTTCCTTGTTAATCTATCTGCTTCCGCTGCTTTTTTCTCAATTCTAAGTGACACACCGATCTCTCTTGCTGTTCCGGTCACCAATGCGACGACGTTTGCTGCCACGGCCGTGTTTGGGATGTTGCTCGGTGAAGAGACGCGTGTTGGGTTGACTCTTTTTGGTACTTTTTTCATTGTTCTTGGTGTTTATGTTTGTGTTGTTTGATTGAAGCCACCGGAGGACAGTAGCTCTGAAAATCCGCAGGCATGCTGTTTTCACGTCTTCTTTGATTCATATAAATGTTCAATCAGGATACTCTGTAAGTTAGTTGTTCTTTCTTGTTGATTATCACAGTAAGATACTAAAATAAATTTGGGATTTTGATTTTATCATGTATTTATGTGCTGTTTGTATCATTGCCCATCAGGTGTTTGATAAAATGCTGATATGGCAAAAAAATTTGGGTTTATTTTGCATACATTATCAATGAGTACACAAGAGCACCTTCATATAGTGCTGCATATTAGTCGAATCTCATGATTTACGTAGCTTTAAATTGGGGAAAAAGAACAACTTTTGATGGAGCTGTCTTGATCTTTTGAATTCTTGCTATTAATCTAATAGTAGTTTCTTTCTTGTTTTATGGTATTTGAGATTTTATTACTCTTCTTGGCTGAGATTTTAGTTAGATTTCAAGAAACATCTTGATCAGTTAAACGTAGGAGAATTCATGTTTTAATCAATCTGATAGCTTGAATCACTGAATTACAATACAGAAAATGATATTTTTATCAATATGCTTAGTACAAGAAGGGAAAGAAACTTGAGGGCAACAAAAGGAACTTGAAATGTATATAAAATGGAATGCTTTAAAAGAATCAATATTCAATGAATTGGAAATGAGGTTTGATCTTCCTCTGTTAGTATTGTGGCTTAGAGCATTCAGGTGGCATCTGGCCGTTAAAACGCTTGTAATCTGTGCAGTAGTTGTAGATCATGTGGTTATCTCTTGCCCATTTCAGCTGACCCTGTTGGCTGATGGTCAACTGCTTGTAAGCCGGAGATGTCCACCAGTTGGCTGGGGTGGTCGAGCCACACAGGCTAACGCTAACAGGTCCGTCCCACTTACAAGCTCTAGCCCTGAACCTACGGTAATTAGCCACAAAAGGTGCAGCCGTCCAGTCGATTTTGACTAGCCCACCTCTTGTGGCCCAGTTATCAGCATTCCACAAACTGGAGTAGACTCGCATCCCTTGTTGGCTAGGGTATGCAATCCCTTCACTCTGATAGTTCTTGAAGACTCGAATCGGCAGGCTATCGACATACCATCTGCATACATCAAGAAAAAAACGATTAAAACGAGTTTAAGCAACCGTTTGGCATCAAGATTACTTTGTTTACTCACACAATTTCAGTAGGATTCCAGTGGATGGTGTAGTTGTGAAAATCGGCAGTTGGGTCGAACCATAATTGGAACTGCTGCTCTCTGTTACCTTGACCTTGAGTGTAGATGTTTGTGTGCACCGTGTACGGCTCTCCGGTTGAGTTCCCCAAGAACTCAAAGTCAATCTCATCGTGATTGGCACCTGTGGACGATAACTACAGCAATCCAACATAAGAAATTAGCTTCCATTGTTGGTAATTTGGTATTACTGGAGTTCTTATTGAACTTACATAATAGGCTGTTACAGTTCCAGCAGAGTTTCCTGGAACCAATTTGATCAGCATTTCGATGCTTCCAAATAGGAACGCCCTCTTCGATTGGACACCGGATCCTATATATCAAAGTTGGAGTTGAATCACTGACTTATGACCCATCAATTTAACCACTATCTGTTTCAATTCTAGTTCAGCAAACAGAGATGAAGATGGTGGATATGTATACCTGAAGTTTTGTCCAAAACAAGGCGGAGCTCATCGCCATTGCCAAGAATCGAGGAATGGTGAGCACCCCAATTGAAATACATGCTTTTCGAGAACTTCCCATCAACCACGGAGGAATGGAATGCGATTGCAGACACAAAAACAGCCATTGCCAAAGCTTGAAAACCTGCCATTTTCTTTGCTTAGAGGTATGTAATGTTGTTGGTTGATATTCTTCTTGTTTCTTGATGCCTTTTATAGCCTGTGTCCACCAAATGCACCTCACCAAGATGAGTCTCATTGTTCTTTTGACTTTGTTTTATAACATATCTTGACCTTCTCCTCCAGTTTGACATTCTTGCACCATTTCTGTTGTTGTAGGTTTATAACTTCTTTAATATCAATAAGTGAATAAAATAAAAAATTTATGTTTGCAGTTTGCTGAATCTTGCCCATAATATAATAATGGTGTAATGGGTTGGAGATGAATTACTGTTTTACACCATTTCTTTTAGCAGGGTGTCACAGGCTATGTCTAGATTAATCCTGATAAATTGTGACCGTAAGACATCAACGTTGATAAACTCAATGGTCACAATTGTTATGGACGCATGGAGTCGAACCTGGGGCAGATGGGATATTGGCCACAACCCTTGTGGCTTGTTTACACCATTTTGGTGCAAGAAATGTCGCAACCGATTGGAGATGGTCTGAATGAATTGCACCGTTTACCTTTTTAGGTATTTAGCAGACGTTATGTATTGAACTTGATTATATTTGAACCCGTTTTTTGTATTGATATTATCTTTGGGATTATTTTGTTTTAAAAACCCAAATGGGAACTAATAGAAATTGAAGTAGTGCACGTCGGGTATGCAGTCCATAGCCAGCTATGTTTTTCACCAGAACCATATTTCTCTTCTTTGGGTTCATAAAACGTGCACCCCAATGAGAAAATGGTAACAATATATGTTTTCTTACTAAATCCATTAATTGCAACAAAAAGGGTACGACGCTGCCCTCTGGAACGTGTATCATGTGGGATGTAAATCGTGTATGATAGAACAAATGAGTGGTATTTGGAGATGAATCTCAGACGTTTGGTTCATTCTGTAAGGATGCCCACCTTTTTACACGTTAGGTTAAAACCATGCCATGAACCGTATTGTTGATATAGTGGTGTGTCTTTGACGTTCCATCTTACTGTTCAATTAGCGGAATTTGCAATCCATACTAAAATTGTATATGTTGTCTTTGCCTTTTGAATCGGAGGAAAAATCTATGTATATCTTACACCAGTGCAAGCTTTCCAGATGGTGGTGATCATGTTGTTCTTGATTGACACCAGACCGACAATGAGCAACCGTTGGTTTTGGGACAAACCACGAGTCATAAAAGGTGGGTATATATGACTTGCGAGATAATCAAAAGAACATCTCCATATCCCATTTCATGAACCCGAGATATAACTTCTACCATGGCTAACGCTAAAAAATGATGCGTTCATTTGGTTTATGATTCTCGTTTGCATCCTATTACGTATCCTTCCATACTTATGATGTAGGCTCGACCACTTGAGCCATATCCTTCCGTACTTGTCATTAGTAGTCTATTTGAGTTCAGTAATTTCTTCCATAGCTTATCTGTTCGTGTTTGGTTGTAGTTGCTTCCATGCTTTTTATCAGTTTTGTTTTTATGTGATGCATCGTCATTTAACTTCAAATTATTTGCTTTGTATTGCTTTGAGCTTCTATATTTTATATATATAAGCAACAATCATAATGAATGACGTGACACGCTCATAGAATAAGATTTCTCATAGGAATTTTCTGAACTTTTTGGTTTTGTAAGATGTTTAATTTCTTAATAGTTTCATTAAGATGCAACATCTGAATCGTTAAGAGGTGAATCTTGTTTGGTAGAAAAAATAAGTCTCTTAATGGTTTTAAAACTCTCTGAATGATTTTGTATCATGAGTCTCTCTTAACCATTCAGCGCCTTAATTTCTTTGTAAATAATTACCAAATAATTATATTTCATTTTGTAATATATCATGAGAGTCTCTTAATCATTCTGACCACTTAATCATTTTGTACTAAACCATTCAACAATCGCCAAACAATCCCTAAACATCTCTCAAAATATCTAAAGTTCTTAAATAACCACATCTCTCTCTATGTACATGTGTATGTATATATTGCAATTTAATAAAATTAAAATTAAAAATACTATTTTCAAATTTTATTTTATATTGAAGTAACAATCAAAAGTAACGAGATGATATCACGAGAATGAAATATTTATTAAATCTTGAAACGTATTGAGTTTTGTTATCCCAAATTAATAAGAAGATGTGATGATATATTGACAAGAGAAGATGATTCTTTCAGTCAATTCTAATCTTAGGAGACCTTTTTTTTTGGAAGAAAAAGATTCACAAACTCTTTGTAACATTATTACTGATATGGATATTGGTTTGAGTCAAAAATAACATTATAACAAAATTATTATCAGTATATCTCAAAGCCAAAGACGGAAGAGAGAGAGGGAGCACTSGTCTGCAATATTCCCCCCGGTCCACAAGCACGTCGAAATGGTTCCACCGGTACTTTTATTATTTGTTTTCTTTATTATTGATAGGCCTGCCTTTTCTATTAAAGAATTATGGCTCGGCCCAGGAAAACCCTCACAATTAGTGATGGCCAAACTGGCCCGGCTCAGGACCGCCTAAGGACCGGAATCGGCAAAGGACCGGCCCGGACCGGGACCGGTTGGGGTTTTTGACAGTTCGTGGGATCGGGACCGGTTATGGCCCGGCCCGAAAATTCAAAAAACTAGCCGTTAGAGAGCCTTTTTTTTTGGTCTTTTTTGCTTTCTAAACACTATAAATATGTGTCTTGGTTGAGAGATTTACATACCAAGTTCTCAATTCGCAAAAAACACAAAAAACGTTCACAATTCTCGGTTTCTCGCTATATTATGTGAATTCGACTCGTATTCATTTCTCGTTTACACTTCACAATTGGCATTTATTTCTCTCTTTGTCTTACAAAATGGCTATTGAACAACATGATGTATCAAAAGAACAAGTTGCCCAAGTTCTCGCCGAACATGGGTGAAAGTCCGAGATTTGGAATTCTTACCACTTGGTGGTCCTCAAGAACGAGAAAAGAAAAGCACAATGCAAAATGTGTCAAGCTCTCCTTACGGTGGAAGGAAAATTCTATTTTAAGGAGGCATACCGAAAAAACGTGCCCGATGTTAAGGTCGGGGGGCGATTCAAGCCAACCGATACTTGACACTCAAGGTCAAATATGGTCGTACGATGCCGAGTTGAACTGACAAATGACAACACAATGTGTCATTCAACTCGGGTTGCCTTTTGGACATTTCGACAACCCTCACGTTAAGAAGTTGATCCAAAAAACACAATGTGGAAAATGTATCGAGCTGAAATGCAACAAAATTTTCTCTTTTGCCTAACAATCTTTTTTTAACGTGTGATGTATGGAGTGCACCATACGGATTATCGGTTTCTTATATATGCATAACGACATATTGGATTGAGCCTTCATCATGGCATTTATTCAAACGTGTAATCGCGTTTGAACCATTTGGTGCACCATATTCGGGTGCACGTCAATTTTCAATTATTAAAAAATATCTTACATTTTATAATTTAACTACTAAAATAATTAGTATTTCATTTGATAACGTTAGTAATAACAATCTATGTGTGGAAAAATTAAAGTGTCATTTGACACCTATTTTAAACGATAAATTATTTCATATACGTTGTTGTTCACACATAGTAAATTTAGCCGTTCAAGACGGTTTAAATACTTGTAAACCCGTAATAGATACGTTTAGACTTATGTTGCGGCAAACTTTCACAAATGGTAAGAAAATGAATGCCGAATATAGAAAGTATTGAGATGATGTTGGTTTCAAAGCTTTGGGATCGAGGTTCGATAATGCCCGTTCGTTGGAATTCGACTTATTTTATGATTGAAAATTTGATAAAACAAAAAGATTATATTTATTCATTGTATAGACACCATTACTCGCAATTTTTTTTGAAATCTTGATTGGGACGTGGTTGAAGGATTGCACGATATTTTAGGTGATTTAAAAAATGCGACATAACTTTTATCCGATATTTATTATCCAACAAGTCCTTTAGTTTTAAACCACCAATTATATATTTTGGCAAGTAAGATTGCCCAATATGAAGAACATCATGATCGGGGAAGGTTGATGAGTTCAATGAAAAAGAAAATTTTAAAATATTTTATGAGCATCCCATTTGCTATTTTTGTGCTGCGGCGTTAAACCCATATTTGTATGTTATCGGTGTTGAAGTTTTAATTACACAAATATGTGTGGCTTTTGGTTTAGATACGGCTACGGATATTTCTTTTTTCAATTGAAAAAAACCTTTTTTTAATTGTAATTTTCAAGATTTATTTGATCATTACAAACATTTTTATGGACGAGAAAACCAACAACAAAGCTCTTCAAGTCGTGGGTGTGTGGGTTATAGTTTTTATCTAATGGTCATCGACAAAGTGGGAAATAGTTGATGACTAATTTAATAAACGAGGTTTTAAATGCATCAAGTAAAAAAGTCGATTTGATAACGATTTGGGTGAACTAAATATATATGTGCATACTAACTTTATGGCCGAATGCCCCTCAAATGATGTCGAAGATTTTGAAAAACTTGATCTATTAGATTTTTGAAAACAAAAACAATCTCAATTCCTGGTTTTGGCATACATCGCACGTGATATACTAACAATCCAAACTAGTACCGTAGCTTCAGAGTATGTTTTTTTCTCTTAGTGGCAGGATCATTTCCATATATCGGACAAGACTAAGCCTGAAGTCCGTGAAATGTTGCATCTGTCTGAAGGACTACTTGTATAGGGTTGATAGAATTCAACACACGACATCGTTAAAGATGGAGATTGAAGAGGTGGAAGAAAATATGAAAGAAAATGAAATCGCCATGGAACTAAGTACGCCGCCAACTACCGATAATTGATGACACTTACTCACAATATGATGATAATGAGGAACTCAACATTGATGACCTTGACGACCAAGAGGCTATGAGAAGAATTCAAGACACCAGAACTCTTCAAATCAATCCGACATGAGATACCGATGATGATTGATGAATAAATGTAGTTTCAAATAATTTGTATTTTTGTAAGACAATGCAATTTTTATTATAATAAAACGCATTTTTAAAGTGTATTTGAGTAACGCAATTACAAATTTTATAATGTATTAAAAATATATATCATTAAAAAATAAAAAAAATTATTTTTTAATGCTCGGGACCGGCGGTCCATAACCGGTTATGAACCACCTTGATCGATTTTACCATTTTCGACCGAGACCAGTTATGGCCGGTTTTGAAAAAGTCTGGAACAGATTATGACCGACCGGTGCCAATTTTTGGCCGTCACTACTGGCAACAGACCTTTCTCCTTTGTCAATGCCCGAACAAGAGCTGACATGTCTCTCTGTTTAGCTCTCTTGACTTGTTCACCCTTATTAACGGTGTATCTCAAATTATTTGTAACAACAAATAATTATCAACATATACAAATTAACTACTTTAAGAAATATATACATAATGTTTTACATTCTACTAATTAAAAACCTTAATAGAAGTATTAAAATCTTCCCATTTTCTTATTTATAAATAATTATATAAGTTTATTTGTTAATTATATATATATATATATATATATATGTCTAATTAAATGAGAACTAATTAGGTTGTGGTAACCGTAAGATAATTGTATTACATTAATTAATAGGTAAAGGGTGTTTTAATAAAATGATTAATTATAATTTAAATATTTTTCTTAGTTAATAGTTATCAAATTCGGTTTCCTTAATTATCAAGAATTCGGTTTCTTTAATTATCTCAACAAAATTGTATCACAGTCATGTATCACATTGTGGTTGTGTGTGGCCTAAAACTCAAATCACATCTATTATCAACCCATGTTCAAAATGTTATCACAGTGGTATCACAATGTGTAACACAAATGGTTTTGTGTCTTACTGTTATAAAGTTTTTGGGTATCACAGCGTGTATTATATTTGTTTTGTGTTTTACTGTTAGAAATTCTTTGGTCGGAGAGAGAGAGGTAGTTTACCCATATATATATATATATATATATATATATATATATTATGTGTTAATTTATAAATTATTTGAAAATTAATGAATAATTACCAAAATTAATATGTTCAATAATAATCATTGATTATTAATAATGTATGGTTGAGATTGGATATCACAGTTATCACAAACAATCGGGTTCTCTCTTGAAAATGAATAACGAGATATTAGAATTAATTAATTAAGTAAGAAAATGAAGGATTAATTGTGAAAAAATAACCAAAATTTATTATCATTATTACTCAACATGCAACATACAAAAATGCTACAAGCGAGAATACAAAACTAAAATTGTGCCTAAAAAACCCAAATCAAACCAATAATCCTCTTCAAGGGGTATTCTAGTCAAGATGCACCCAGATGCCTGCGCTTGGCACACTACGGTTGTTCACAAACAACAAATAGTATCCCGGCGGTGCGATCTTTCCAGACGGCGGAGCCACGGCGGAGACCACATTCTTGTCCACTCCTTCAACCCCAAGAATGATCATCCTCTGATTCTGACTGAAACCATGAGTAGTAAACGGCGGATACAATAATGTCACGATGATATCTCCATACCCCAACTGCTTGTCCGGCTTCATCGTGAACGTCACCTTGAACGGTTTCCCGTATTTCAGAACGATGTCGGTACCGAAGTTGATCACCGGACGCTCTTTATCGAATGTGGGGTCGAGATAATGGGGTGAGAATTTCTCTACTCGTAGTTCTGTTGGGTAATATGGACCATCGAAAGTGTAGAACTGGTGGGCGTTGCTTCCGGCGACCAGAATCTTACCGTCGGGAAGAACCGATGAAACGGAATGGTACATCCTGGGGATGGTTGTCGGTTGTAGTTCTTTGAATCTTTTACCCATTTCTTTTTCCGGCATATAGACGGTCGGAGTTAGGTTAGGATCTTCACCGTCTTCCCAACCGGAGCAACCTTTTTTGGCGCCGTTGATCAGAAGGAATTGGCCGTTGGGAAGTTGGAGGAGATCTCCCATGGTTCTTGGTGTCGGCATGTCTTGTTCTTTCTCCCATACCGGTTTATCAGCCATGACTTTGATTCGGTTGCAATCGGCGTTCGCCGGTACGAAGACTGGGTTTTGGGTGTACTTTTTGTCCACCTGGTTGATGGCGTCGTGGCTGTTGCCGCCGCAAACCACCACCTCGACGTTAATCGGTTGATCGAATTTAGGGCTGAGCCGCAGCGGGAAAAGAGCGGACATACCGGAGGAGGGATAGTTGCGGGAGGTGCCTTCCAACGGTGGGAACTCCTTCACGGTCTTGCCGGTTTTTGGATCGAAAGCGATGGCGCGGTCGTTGGCGAAGATGAATACGTTGCCGTCGGGGAGTAGGAAAACGAACGGGTAAAGGTTGTTTTCAACGTAAAAGCCTTGGATGACGGGGGGATCGGTGGTTTGTTTGAGGAACGGGAAATCGAACAATTGGGTTTTTCCGTCCACTTGTGGTGGCACGAGGTCGTAACTATAGGCGTCGCGACCTCCGACGACCACCGCGCTCCCGTCTTCCAGAACACAGTTGGATGGATACCTATAACGAGATCCATTTAGCCATGAACTTGCTAGCAATAAAAAAAAAACTATTGATTAAGTCACAACTGAACAAACCCTTAATTATACGTACCATCTGTTAGCACCAAGAGCGTTTTCTCGTTCTTCGAACTTTGGAGTCGGAGTATTCCCACTTAGAATTCGAACACTTCTAAAACCCATTTTATTACCTCCGGTAGACATGAGGTCGCCGTTTGGCAACAAGTGTCCCGATGAGCACCATGGATCGGTCCGGATCTATAACACACAAATAACGAAGGATAAATACGTTTGTGTCGGTATACCATCCTGGAACTAACTGCACGGATATAAAAGAAATTAAAAGAACCATGATTAAGGTACGTACATAAACTGGGGTGGTGACGCCGGACTCAATGTCGTATGATACGGCATGAGCAAAGCAATCGGGTTCGTTGTTAGTGTCGGGATTCGGTGGACAGTTTCCTTTCGGGCCGAGTTCTAGAGCCGATGGACCGAGGTTGGTGGTATCGAACCAAACGGCTCTGTTATTTGGCATCAACTGATATTGCATGGCGGAAACGCCAGCGTTAGGGTTATGTATCTTCCATTCGCCCATATATTTCGACTCCAACGGGGGCTGTTGGTATAGCGGTGGACCAAAGAACGATGCCTTAACATCGTTACCTCCGTAAATCGCGCCTTTTCCTGCACCGCCTTTTCCGTCAGCAGGAGCGGCTCCTCCACCTCCTTGGCCTTTGTTCTTATTGGGGCAATCTTTATTAGGGATTCCGCCACCGCCTTG